AAGGCTGAGATCCAGTGGTTGGATGGCTCTTAATACAGTATATTCAGACAAATAAGCTGGTATACCCAGAAGCTGGGTGTTTCTTTGACTTTTGATTTTTAGCCTTAAACCTATTCTCTAGAGCAAAATACATCTCCTTGCCAAATATGGCTAATTGACCTATAGTGAATTATTTAAAAAAAAAATAATTGTGAATTAATAGGAAAACGGGGTTTGCTATGTTTTTCATCTGCCAATAATTGTCTCATTAATTATTCCAGTATGGGTAGACATGAAAGACTAGGTGAAAAACTTTAGTTAGTTCAAAATATATTTGCAATAACTTTAATGGATAGAGCTTATTCAGAACACTCAACTAGTTCTGTATTGAGTGTGTAGCCCAACTCTAAGTACCAAAGAAATTGGAATTTAAATTTCTACAGGAATACCTACTCCTTTCTACCTCCATGTTTCTGCCTCTTCAGAAGTAAGGCTTGTTTCTCATCCAAGCATTTTGAGCACTGCCCAATGACTCATGTGGCAGCAGATCCTCTCATAATCCATTCTGAAAATTATGCATTTGGTGGAAATTTGTTGAAGGACCAACAATAGTTCTGTAATTGTGTGTGGGGGGGAAACCTAGCAGAATTGGAGGGTGGAAAAGATTGATTCAGGTCCAAAGGTAGCCCAGTTGTAGCTCCAAAGTAAATATGAATTTCACCTTTTCAGGTGCCTGAAATATGTATCACAACATTTATTGTGATATATATATATATATATATATATATATATATATATATGCAGGAAAAACGTTTGTGTTTAAGAAAAGTTAGGAGAAAATTACTTGCAATATTTACACTTGGGAAAAAAGTGTGCACAATGTGTATTTGGAGAACTGTCCATGAAAAGCCTACACACAAGGATAAATAAGTTAGGATCTTTTAAAAAAAATGTAAAGGTAATCTTTGAGGTTTTCCCTTTAAAATAGAATAATTCATTCAACAGATCAGGAGCACAAAATTGTCAGTTGTTAAGTAGACTGAAAATTGGCAGGGTCCACTAATTAAAACTTAGCTTGAAGGTTATTTGTCAATTATTAATTTTAATGAAAATATGTGGTTTACTACTAATTTTGAAGTAGGTTTGCATTTAATTTAGCATTGACTCAGCACATACTCCATGTTAAAACAAGCAAAAAGGCTAGTCAATTACTGTTTCCAACAGTCCTTTACATAATATAGGAAAACCATGAACTATACTTTGTATTTCTCAGGCTATTCTTCCCAAAACATGGTAATACTTTTGAAGTGTCACTGAGTAACTCGGGCTCTGCTTCTGGCTCAGCTCTCATGGCATTCTAATGACCTTGCATACTTAATCATAATTGAGAGTCAAGTGACATTTATGAGACATGAATTTTAATTAGAGTTCACATTAACAGGGAAAGTACTTTGTCTAGAATTCCTCCAATTGTGATAATTAATTGTCTGTCTGACTAAGCTTCCTGTCTTACTGAGTCTGTTGTGCAATGCCTTTTCAAACATTTATTAAGATATTTTAAAATATCTTTCAGAGAATCTACATTGTTTTTAACCATAGATATTCGACTACTTCCTATTAGGATAAACACACAGTTTAATAGACTATATGAGAGAGGGGACTTTGTTAAAGAAGAATGTCATTAAATTATATATTGGTAGTACACATATTTATGCATTTTACATGTAAAATATAAGGGGATTTTATGCATGCATATTTTACATATTTCATGCATGTACAATATGATAAATTGGATTTTAGGCATGTGCTACACAAATAGGCAGATTTGGTGTGATGTTATCCAAGGGCTTTTAAATCAAGGAATCATTTAATTGAATAAATCTAAGAAATGGCAAGACCAAATTTAATAAATCCAAGTTTAGTTACTTATGTAGTATTTCTCAATGCATTATGATTGTGGAGGTTTGTATCTCTTCTTCTTGCAGTGCAAAATTTAGATTAAAATAATTTTATGTTTTTAGTAATAAAGAGGAAAGAAAAGTGCTTGTTGCATCTGGGGAGGTAATTTATCCTTTGGCTACCAGATCTGGAGTGCAAAATTACTATTTTGAATATTTCTTCCATCTAATGACCTTGCAGATTTTGGCATCCCAGATCTTGTAAGCCTTTGTATCTAATGCTTATGTACTTATGAGAACTGATAGCACTGTAAAATATTTATTGAATAAGGTACCATGATGAAAACCTCCCCAAAAAAAGTTTCACTTAAAAAATAAAACCAGGATTACAGTGTTAAATATTGGATCTGTTCACCTTTTGCTGAATTGCTGTGCAATGCATGGGTGCAAGTATTTTCTAGATCACTAAAGCAACCTTTCATTTCTACAGGGACATGAAACTGCTTTGGAAGTTGCCCCTGCTGTGTCCACACATCTGTGGATGAACAGCTACTTTAATACACTGGGGGAAAACATGAAGCTAAGTTAGTGGAAACAGCCAATTGAAGCTTCTAAAGCAGAGGTGTCAAACTCAAAGCCCTCATGAATGCTTAGATCTGGCCCGTGGGGCCATCCTGGAAACAGCAAATGACCAGCTCAAGGTGCCTTTGCCAGTGAAAACAAAGCTGGGGAGGGCCACATATGGTCCTTCTGAGCTCCATTTTCACTGGCAGAGCATTCGGGCTTCAACACAAGTGACTTTGAGCTGGCCATGCCCACCCCAGCCATCTGAGGTCAAACATAACCCTGATGTGGCCCTCAATGAAATCAAGTTCAACACTCCTGTTCTAAAGCAACAATGTCACGCTGGGAAAAGAGGCAGCTACTGTAATGATTCACAAAAGGCTTATTTGAAACTATCTATGTTGGGGGGCACCTGTTTTGAAGAATTTGCACAGCTGTATTATTACATTAATCTGAAAGTGTTGGGGAATCACATTTGGTACAAAACCATAAACTGCCCAAACCATAAGGCAATAATTTCCAGTCCAGTCCAATTCTCTCAAAACAATGTAAAGCTAATGCAGTGCTCATGAACTTCGTGGCTGCCAACTACAAAATGCTGTGCAAGAAGAACACAGCTTTTAGTCAACCCTCCCCAATTTTCATGACTTGTTGTGGGCTGGTAATTCTGTGAAACAAAAGGTGCAATTGTTATTTTTTTGCGGGGGGAGAGATAAAAAGATATTAAAACACCAATCCTTTGTTACATTGAAGAGCATCTCATCAAAATGAAGGGGGAAAGGTAGCTTTTAGGGACAGAAGAGAGGCTATCCCTGAGTCAAGGGCCTATGTGAAGTGAGAGCTTTACTAATGAAAAGCTCCTGCACTCACAAGCTCTCCAGAGCTGCAGTGCATTAAAAGGAAAGTCACTCCAAGAATCCTTTCCAATACAATATATACTAATTGGAAATACATTAGCACAGATGTCTATTGCTGGCTTTAAGATTTCACTTGCATGAATGCCAAGACTACAAGCACATCCGGAGTGTAGACTATGATTGAACAGGATTGGTATATTTAAAATTAACTTCAAATCTCCCTAGCATATCTCTGGTGTGAATGTTGAAAGAAAGATTATGACCTTTTATTTTCTATATCCAAAAAATATAATTCAGCCCTTAAATAATTAATGGTGTAATTAGCAGTGGAAAGTTCAAGGCAAGACTAGGAAGGCTAAAATCACCTTAAGATGTTTGAAATTATTTCAAAACCAAATAGAAAATGATTAGATCCTAGGTATAGCAAACATAAAGACAAGTCCAAGTGACTTGCAGCATCATTAAATAGAAGCATCAAAATCCATAAATATTAACACAGCTTTCTTTAAAATTAATATTTCCCTGGTAAGAATAAAAAGGAAGGAACCTGCATGTTGCCAAAGAAAGATAAAGCAGAAGAGGCTGAGAATCAATACAGTTAAAACTTATACCTCAAAAGGATCTGCTTTTGAACATTGGCTGTTATGTTACATGTATGCAGATGTAATCCTCTTTTTCTCTGGGCCACATATTTATTTTCCATCAAGAATTCCATAAGAAACTCAAGCAAATGTGTTGAAAATTAATACCCCACCTCCACACAAACAGTGCTTTTAGGGAACGTCAACACTTCTGTTTAATAAACCACTTGTGGCCAGAGAGTTCCCCATCCCCCTATAGCAGATATGTCAAACTGGCAGCCCGTGGGCCAGAATTATCATGCATAGGTCACACCCACCCCGGTTCTGCAAAGGCAAAAAATGTCACGATACACGATCAAGTTTGATACCCGTGCCCTACAGTGTCATCAGGCAAACTATATCGTTTTAATTATTTCCTTCATTTGATGTCGATATGATGAATATACCAGGAATTGCATCTGTTTCACTCAAATTCTATACCAAGAAGATCCACTAAACCAACATCCCACTGTAATGTGATTTTAGAATAATGCTCTTCATTTCATTTTTATTTGTTTATAGTTTATGTTGCTTATGTAATATTTTTGTGTATTTAAAGTGTTCAGTCCAATAATGAAATGTATCATTTAATTAAAGGAAGCCAATGTTTTTATAGATATATAACATCTAGAAATATAGGCCGCATGACTCTTTTAACCAAGTAAAATGAAATTAAGAATGAGTTAGTTTTAAACTGAAGAACTTAAAAGTTTTGCAAAATATGATAATATTGCTCAAGCAAAACTGCACTTGTATTTACTTGAATCAAGTTTTTTTAATAAAGGCCTCAACATGGCAAAGTTTAGAAATAGGTAGTATGCATGCACAGAATACAACAAAAATTCTCTTATAAAACAGCTGTTATTTTTGCAATGTTTTACAAAGGGAATAGAGCCACCACAAACGTATTTAATCTGTTAGATTAATAGATCATGACAGCTAAAATCAGCAACATGTAGCCGAGGAATGAAAAGCCCTCTAGTTCTCTGAATACCAGTGTGAGAAATATTTTGTGCCTTAAAGTGTTTGGAAAAGATTCCATGAGTAGTTATCTTTTAACATCATAAACAAATTGCATGACAGCTTTCTGCCACAATTAAAAAAAGGCAAATATTGTATTCATTTTGTTTTTTTCCTTTTTATTCTTCATAACAACATAAAATAAGCTAATACCAGAGAAAGTGCTGGAAACTGATTACATTTTTACACTCTCCATAATTGAGAATGTGAGCTTGAGGTTTGTTGAAGAAGTTTTAAAATTTATCCACACTTGCTTTTAAATAAATGTGTTGAATGATACAAAAGAATGAAGACTTGTTTGCTGTAATGTTTCTGTGAAAGGGTTGAGTTTCCTCCCTCCTTCTAAGAATCTGATTCTCTGTGTGTGTGCTTATGGCTTTTTGCTCTCCTGACAACATAGGAAAACTCACCATACACAAAGTGTGCCTGATTAAAGAAATACATAAAGTTGTGTGCAGGCTTGACAACGCCTTCTTAGGATCCAAGTGTTCAGGACTGCAGAAGAGGCCTTCTCACACATGTTAAGGTCTCACCACTTGCAAGTGGTATATCACTAAGTTCACTAAGATTTTACTAAATATGAAGAATTTTTACATGGTATATATGTTTAGTATAGCTTGGACAATCACTGAATCTCCAATACGGAATAATCTGTGCTCATGCAGGCCATTAGATGTTTTCTATAGTACTCATAGCTTCTTTGCAACCTAAAGCTAATTGGAAAAGCAAGTTATGTTTGATTGTGAAATTAGCTCCTCTATAGTTGTAAGGTTCTGAAGTGAATTTCTAATGAGCACGAAGAGAGTAAACAACCCAATCATACTTCCACTATCTGAAACAAAAACAAATTCACACACTGTACTACAGTCTTCAGACCATATAATGGAAAAGTGCAGATATTGTCTTCAGTAGATTAAGTAAAACCAAAGGAAAAAATTCATACAAAATAGATTGCCCATATTCACACTACAAAGGATTTCTTCAAATTTTTAACAAATTCAGTGTGTGTTATATCAGCAGCATTGTTGCAAATTGTACGGTAGTGCAGTTTTTTTTTCTTCATAAAAATACCATACAAATGGTCAGTCAAGTCATCAGCAAAAGAAAGACCCAGATAACCACCAACCAAATTGAAAAAATATCCAGAGGTAATGCTGATGCCAAAACAATTATAATACTGTTGGTACATAGAAAAGTAATCCTTATATTTTATACATTTATACAGTATACAAAAGATTACAGTGGATTATGCGACAGTCTCCCTTATGCCAATATCTATTTTCTTTGGAAGAAGTTCTTTCCTTTCATCCATGCTTGCTAAGGAGTTTCGACAATTCTGCCCATCCATGTACAACTTTGCATATACTGGATTTGAATAGTTTGTTGGCTGAAAACAGACAAACATATTAATTGTTATTTAGACTGCTGTAATCCCGAGTGAATGCAAATCAGAAAAGGAATATGGCATGTATATATTTATCTAAATTCCATAAATAAATAAAAGTACATCACAAGACACTAAAGGATGATTTTTAATCCACAGAATAGAGGCATAATATTTCATCTGAGACCCTTTGTACATCGATGATGACATACAACAAGGGAGAACTTAAATTTATCTGGAACAGAGGAGGGGAACATCATAAATGTCCCAGCTATTCATTTGCTTTGTTTTACAATAGACACTCTTTCTTTATGGATCATGAATGACTGTTTATGCTTGACAAGTCCCAAAGAATTATCATCTGGAAATCAATTAAAGGGGTTTATTCTATTATCTTAATGAAACACCAGCTAGGTAAAAATTAATAAAAGGGGAGGGATCTAGATGGGTTCCCTTCCCTGATCTAGATGTTGATTGAAGCTTTAAACAAGTTATTAAAACATAAAGGGCAATGTTTAGTCTTTACCAAGCCGAAACAGTGATGATTTAACTTCCAATATACTTATAATGGTTTATTTTAGACCCAAGTTCTGTTTTTAGCTAAATCTGGAATTAGCAATTATATCACCAAGCTACTGTTAAATAAAATAGAGAGACAGGAGCAAGTAACATCAACAGACATGTTCTGGCTATCTTTGGAGTACTGTGTCTATTTGTATCCATACATATTATGTGCAAAGTTAAAACTTAATACATTTAGATTTACAAGGGCACATAAAAAGGATGTTCAAATGGAGTTTTTTCCTTACAAGAGGGCTATTGTTAGAAGTATAGCAGAAAAGCAGTATCCAAGGCAATGTGCATGAAAGGGCCAAGTAGTGATGCAAAGAGCAGATGGAAAAGCTATTTTTATTTGAATTATGTTGGTAAAATCCAATATTGTGCAAAGAGCTTGAATAATTAAAATTTCTCCTTGCCTATATCTCCCTTCGGCTTGAGTACCACTAAAAATTTCTGTTTGGGGAATCAATAGAACTTATAGACTGTGCAACTATACTGCAGTGAGAAGGGAAACTGTAAATTCAAGAGTTTAATGTGACTGCTACAACATTTCTCTGCCTAATATGAAGTAATTTACCTTGTTTATTGCACCTTTGAAACTTATAACTACAGCCTTCTCAAATAGATGTTCAGGAGAAACAAAGGGCTTCATGGGGAAGAACATGAAAGATGTGAATTTATGTTTAATTTATGAAATGTTGCATTTTGTTCTAAATGTTTGTTTCTATGGACAACAATTTTATGAAGCATAAGTAAGTATTGGTTCTGATAGCTACAGTTCCCCTACAGATACAGAGGCAATATAACTCCTAATACAAGCTGATGGAAAACAAAAACTATATTCATGTTCTAATTTAGATTTCTTGTGTGATAAAATTGGCAACCAGAAACAAAATGGAAGAAATGATGGCTTAGCAGTTTAGCTATTTGTCTGCCCTTATTTTATTGTCTGATGGTCTATTGTACATCTAAGTGTACTGTTCAAAAGGATCCAGCCAGATGCATAGTTGAAATGATTCTGTTTTATGCTTTAGAATACAATATCTGATACCAGAAAAATTAAGATCTATTAAAATTGCACCTGGCCAAGTAAATGAATTGGCTTCTGAAAAGCATTTTGCTGATGGGCTCTTTTTTCAGTTATAAACCTAGCCAGAATTTCAGACCACAGGTCTGCCACAAATTGCTTCATATTCTCTATTGTGCTTAAATGAGTTCACTTTTCTGGTGATCTTAAGAGAGAGAGAGAGAGCATGATTCAAGCACTGAGATAAACAAAGGTCATCCTGCTTTTAAGCCTACTGAGAGCTATATTGGAAAGATACATAGCATGAATTCATGATTGATTTTTTATAAATAGTTTTTATTAACATTTTTACCTTTAAAGACTGAAAGAAAAACACAACCAAAAACAAGATAAACATAACACTATAATGTAGTTAAACAGCCTTCTGTGTCAGCATTCATGTTTTGCCTTTGTAGTTCTCCATTCTACATTGCCTTCCTATCAATTTTAAAAGATACATAGCATGAATTCATGATTGAAGTCATATTTTCAAACCCAATTATTGTCATTTATTGCCATATGTAACCAGTCCTACTTTTCCATGCATCCAAAGTAAAAGAATAAGTACTATTAAATATGCACAGAATTAAGATGCATTCTTAATGGGTTTCATGCAGTATAAAATTGGATGGACTACAATAATTCATGATAAGAGAAGCTCAGCATGAAACCATAACGAAGTCCCTTCCATTATTCCAATCACCCAATCTTTATTTTGTAAATAAATTCAAGCATTTTTTTTATGAAGAAGAGTCATTTTGCAAAATTGAATACATAAAAAAATGATTTTCAGTTACAGAAATCATGTAACACACATGAAAAATGAAGCATATAAATGCATGCATCCTTGCCAATGAAGATGATTATTAACAATGCCACTCATATTTAAAACAGTTCAAAGATTTTCAACATTATTTAGAGATGATGGATGCAAATGAGTAAACTGAAAAATTAATGTTACATTGCCTTATTTTAAAACATATTTTGAATGTGATTTCAGTGCATCTATCCGTTTTTAATTGGATATATTGTGCTCATGAAATTATTTCAAAACTAAGCACATATTTATGAAGATGTAAGGTTCAAATGCTTTCTCCCAGAGATGCCATCATGTCATCTGTGGGAGAACATCCAAGAAGTTCAAAGACTTTTTGTATTTCTTTCCCTGAAAGTAAAATGGAAGATAATCCTGCCAATGCAATATGTGTTCTTGCACCTGAAGTCTTTGGAAAAGATTGAACCAGTAGTTCCCTAGTATTAGACAAAGTTAGAATCCAAAAAGGGTATTCGGGAGAATTGTCCATTAATCACAAAACTGGGAGTTCTATGGCAACTATGGAGCCAATATTGTTTATTGTTTAGATGGGGAAAATGGATAGAGATGGAGAACCTGAAGAAGAAAGAGTTCTGCTCTTTTCTTCTTTTCACCTTACACAGGTCTGATATCTTTTCAGAACTAAGTTTTGACATTGTTTGCCCTGAAGGAAGAATGTTTCTGTTAAGAAATGAAAAAGAAAAAACTATATAAAACTAAATTCAGCACACCCTTCCAATACAGTATAATTTGTATGTTTTGACTTTGGGTGAAAATAACTACTAAAGCCACATAGCAAAATATCATCAAACTATAAACTGGTGTGCCATGGCATATTCTTGTTGTCTTTTGAGGAACAAAGTAGATGAGATATTAATTATGGGAATATAATTAATGTGTAAGTTGAGTATGTTTGTGTTATGTAAAATAATAGGGGTATCATATCTGGGCTGCAAAAATTTGGGGTGGCCTCTAGACTCTAGCAGAAATCTATTTCAGCTAGAGTCTAGAGGCCATCCCAATTTTTTTCCCAATCCAGATATGATATACTTATTATGTTACATAAAACAAACATACACAACTTACACTTAATTATATTCCTATAAATAACATCACAACTACTTTGTTCCTCAAAAGGCATCAAGAAAATGCTGCCTAAATGTAGTAAATCTAGTTAATAGGAAAAGTTCATTATTCAGTCAATATTTCTGACATGTATGTGAGAAAGCATAGAAACATTTGTAACTGTTGGAAGAACACGGTGATAGAATGAAGATGAAAAATAAATAACTGTTTCTTACCCCTGCTGTTAGAGGTCCTTTCAGATCGGTGTTTAGGTAGATGGGTGGTGCTGTATGGGGGAGCTTGAAGACTGTGGGACCTCCCCCTATGTATCTGCCCTGCATTGAATAAAGCATATTTCAAAGTTTATTTTCCGATTTTAAAAAAATACATCTCCCCCCTCCCCTCATTCTGAAATGTAAGTGAGCAAATACTGTATGAAAACACATGTTGTAATTCCTCCCCCCCCTTACAGAAACAAATAAAATAAAAATGCTTTTTCTTAGATTATTTAGATTACATTCAGGAAGATATTAATACTGGAAACTAATTTTCATTTTGTGAAAGATGTAAGGAAGACAACAAAGTACAGTATATTTTCCATACCTGAGTGATTAAAAAATACCATCATATCTAATCCATTACTCAGCTACTGTTTTGGAATGGGATAACATAGCTTTTATATTAGTGAAGGACTATCTTTCAGGAATTCATAGACGTGATTATTATTTGGAAAAGTGGGAAGTCCTCTCTCTGCTCCCCCATCCCTCTGAAGCAGCACCACTGGTAGGATTTGAGGCTTTCCTTTTGCTAGTATATGTCTTGCTCTTGTCCAGCCATGTATGGAACCATGGAACATCTTGCCTACAGATGTTGTGGGTGCTTCATCACTGGAGGCTCTTAAAAAGAGACTGGACAGCCATTTGTTTGAAATGGTATGGGGTCTCCTGCTTAATAAGGGGGTTGGACTAGAAGACCTCCAAGGTATGTTCCAACTGTTATTTTGTTATGATTGCTTGTTTCCCTCAGTTTAGAAAAAAAAGTTTCTTTGATGTTACCCCCTCCCCCCCAAAAAAAAGAGGGGCGGGAGAGGGGAAATTTCCAGCAATTGTGTCTGTCATCATCTTTCCCAGAGTTCTTTATTAAATGGAGACCCATATAACTTATGGGACACCACATGCTTCCCATGATCAGGCCCTAATGATACACTTTCCCTTACCTGTAAGGATTATTTTATTAGAAAATAAAGTACTATTTTTTAAATAAGCATAGTTACAATACAGTGCTTATGTACACCTGAAAATGTATCATCTATGCAAGTAGATTTTATTTTTATTGCTTTTAAAATAATAGAAAAATAAAAGAAACATGGCACAATGATACATATATATAAGCTCTTAAAAACAAGTGAAAAAATACAGCAGAAAAATATACTTCATACCACAAGTGCTTCATACCATTCAGATCACTGCATCAGAAAAATGGATACAGTACAAAGAAGAAATGAACACAAGATCACTACATCTGCCACTGTTTCTGTTTTATAAGTATACTGTCTACTTAGTTTAGAAAACCAAGCAATTATGATATATTATGACAGAAATAATATACATTTATAAGAAACCTTTTACTCTTTTGCATGCATAATAACAGAAATTAGGATTGCCCTTCCTATTTCATAGACACTGCCTGTTGTCATTATAAGAGTATCCCTTTTATTAGTGGATACTGTGAAACAAAATAACTTTCACTTATTGTTTGTGAATTTCCTACAGGGAACTCCAGGATTATAAAGTTAAATGTTGGACCAATTATTAAATCTGGTCCAGGAAAGTAATGATAACACTGTACTATTACTTGTATCCTACCACTTCATGTCCATTCTTATGTTTATATATTATAGTTTTGCCTACTTGCTGTCTTGCAACTATACTTGTGTTGTCATTGAAGAATCAGTTAAGGATGGTGTTCTTCTGCCCCTGTAAGTGGAGAACTAGAAGTATAATCCAGAGCAGTGTTTCTCAACCTTGGCAACTTTCAAATGTGTAGACTTCATCTCCCAGAATTCTCCAGTCAGCATCACCAGCATTGCTGGTTAGGGAAATTCTGAGAATTGAAGACTGCACATCTGAAAGCTGCCAAGGTTGGGAAACACTGATCCAGAGGAATGAGCTTTCTTGAAATACACTAGACTTGCAGTAGCAAAAATACAAGTATTTCAATCACTACTTTTTAAATCTTCATGTTCTAAATCACTGGATATCCCACAAAAATACATTTATAGAAGGCAATGTTATAATTTTAAATGTGGTGTCCTATTCTATTTTTAAAATATGTAATATAGAACCATTACACACATCCCAGCATTATTTGAAGAGTGCAACTCTCCAAATGTTAGTTTATTGATGAGAATGAACCATCATAGATCAGGCATAAATGCACTGGATCCAGTGGAGCCTTCCGCAAATTAAAATGATTGAAGTATTTTAAAAGATAGCCCTATGCCTCTATCTGATCTCTACTGGAACTGTGTAAACTTTGGTGAGAGCAGCTGGAAGGATAGAGAGTGTCAGTGAAAACATATCAAAAACTGTTGCGAGAATCTGGTATTTTTAATTTAATGAAAAGAAGGACTAGAGGTGACATGATAGTGGTGTTCCAATATCTCAGGGGCTGCCACAAGGAAGAGGGGATCAACCTATTCTCTAAAGCACCTGAAGGCAGGACAAGAAGCAATGGATGGAAACTAATCAAGGAAAAAACCAACCTAGAAACCAAGAGACATTTCCTGACAGAACAATTAATCAGTGAAATGGCTTGCCTCTCGAAGTTGTGGGTGTTCCAACACTAGAGGTTTTTAAGAAGATATCGGACAACCACTTCTCTGAAATGATATATGTTTTCCTACTTGAGCAGGGGATTGGACTAGAAGACCACCAAGGCAGGGGGGGTTTCTGGCTGCTGCTATTGCTGGTTCGCTCACAGACACGCTACATGCGTGCTTGATGTGCACATGTGCAGTACTAAAAATGTACAAAAAACAAGATGGTTCCACCTGCGGTGCCACCGAGAGAACCAGTTTGGGAAAAGGCAGGCCAAGTTACTACCTATTCGGCCGAACCGGTCTGAACTGGTAGGAACCCACCTCTGCATCAAGGTCCCTTCTCATTCTGTTATTCTGTTATTCTGCTGGTGCCTCTTCCCTCAGTTCACTGTCATGGAACATGATTGAGGAAGCAAAGTAACAGATATTTTATTTACCTTTTCTCGATTTAATGTGAACTCTGAAATATTCCTCTCACTGTGATTATGCCCCACTTCATACATGTTGTATGATGGGTTTCCAATTTCTACATTGATTCCTCCATTTATTATTGGTTGTCGTCGAATGGTTTTTGTCCTATAATATATAAGAGGAAAATAGGGAATAAAGCTGTATGAAATAACACATGTTAAAATGTTCTCCTAAAAGCTCCCAAATTATGTCTGAAAGACTATACTGTGGGGGAAATGCAAATGTTTACATGCTACTTATACAAATGCTCATTCAATGATAATATTGGCAGAAAATTGTATTCCCTTTCTCCATGGCAGTTCCATGGAGTTTGGTTTTTAACAACTTTTTTTTTCTGTTTCACAAGTCTTCCTGAGTAACATCATTTCATTTCATAGATTTCATAATTCACTTCATAATGATGATTCTATTTTCAACTGCCTGTTTAATGTATTCATTAGATGTCTAACTGCCATATCAAACTCAAACTTAACAAAATACTTTTCTTTTTAAAAAATAAAACACCCTCTCTTTAATCTCTGTCCATAACTTTTGCCAATATAATATTTTTCCTTACAGACAAGCTGTGTTTTATGTTCCCATTGCCTGAAAGATCTACTGTATAAAGGGAAGATAATTTTTCCAGATACTAATGTAAATTAAAATGCATTTTCCTTTCAGTTGAGCATTATATCAATTAATCTGCCCACTGACCCACCCATCCTTCATATTTATATTGCTGCCCATCTCACAAAACGTAACTCTGGTTGGCATACAATAAAAAAAAACCTGTAAAACAGCAATATAAAAACTGTTAACACTAAAAACAATATATATGATTAAAAAACCAGGGAGATGGCAATGGATATTAAAAACAATGGAGACAGTTCAGCAACTCACAATTGGGATTTCCAGGCCTGATGATAGAATCAAATTTTGGGGGAGTTACAGAAAATTAAGAAGGATGGAGACAATCTCACTTCAGAGAGAATGATTTCCATAAGGCAGGTGCCAATTTTTGGAAACTTCTTTGCCATATCTATGAAGGGATTTTTGTCAAAAACTTACAAAGGCTTAATAATAATAAGACAAATGCTTACCTTCGTTTTCTTTTACAGAGGAGCAACCCTATTACCAAAGTAGTAATCAAAGTCACCAAAAGGACCAGAGGAACAATGATTGCAATGCTTCCTACAAGAAATAATAGAAACATCTCTGAGGCTATGAAGCTAAAACTGGGAAAGCTAACTTTGAAAAATACATTATCAAACATATATTTGTATAGATCGTATCGTGTTTTAACAAACAGATGAGTTAATAGCATTAAATACTGCCCAATATCTGAAGAATTGTATGACATATCAGGTTTCAATATATTAAATTATTTTACTGTATTGTTGGCATAGTTTGCCTGCCTACTATTTCTAAACACCACCTCAAGGCCCCCTTTTAATAAAATAAGTACTGAATACATCAAATTAATTGTGTTTATATCTGACAATCTTCTCATCAACCTACCTCTGTGAATAAATCTGTCATTGAATCTTCTATTTCATTAGTTTGTCATAGCAGAGCACAAGACTCCTGATTAAAGGAGAGTGGCCATGACATTATATCAGTTTTAACACAGCATAAACAGAGAATAAAATATCCCATCTGTCAAGCATAAGATGTATTTTGATTTATAATCTAAAATAATTCTTAATTGGCTCTTGAAAGTTAATAAACCAGGCAATGCAGCACTTGGAATGTAAAGGCAAAAAGGTGTTTCAGAGGATACAGAGGTCCTCACATAAAATCTATTTCCAATTACTTACATCAAATACATTTCTTCCTAATAAGCAGCACTATACCAGGAAAAGATATATCTGTTTAGGAAACTGTAGAATATGCTACTGTACATGAGCCCTCCCATGCATTTGAATGCATGTTTTTGCTTTGATATATGAAATTATATAAAAGACGTATTTGACCATTGAAAATATTTGAATGGGACACACCTCTACATATAATACTGCCTTTTTGTGTGTCTTTGAAGGTTGCTTAACTGAGGCCATCAGACTAATCCTTTACTGATCTGAAAATTATCTGTGGAGCTAATTCAAATTGCCCAAGTTTGTGTTATATGTCATTTATTACTAAATATTACAGATTGTTGAACTCTGAAGTATGATTTAGTCATAATTTAACTCATATTTATCAAAAGGGTCAAATTCAAGTAATTAGATATAGATTTAGCCCATCTTAATTCTTCCATATAACCACAATATCCCTGATCCTCATATCCTCATTTTCAATTATATTCAAGTTGCCATCTTTGCTTCTCCAAATCTACAGCTATCATTCTTTTTTCTTATCATTAAATAATTATATTGCATATTGAGCCTTTATTCCTTTTCTATCTCCCCTCACCCCGTTCTTCATAAGTGTAGAAATTATAAAGACAGTGAGAGCTCCACAGTTTAAAATATATATTGCCTACAAGAAAAATGGTTTAAATGCTGATATTAATTAAACACAACTTACTTGTACTGATATTATCAGATTTGCTACTCTTAGGAGCTGGCCTTTCACACTGTGTACCTGACCAGTTTGTAGGGCATCTAAAATAAATTAAAAAAAAACACATTAATTCAGAGCAACAGTTTTCAGCATGAATTACTGTGTTTCAGAGTATTAACTATTATCAACTAACTTTTTGATAGACATATATAAACATTTAATTTAATAATAAACATTTTGATTAATTATCATAAAATTAGAACAAAATCAAGTCATTATAAAGGTCTTTGTTAGTAGATGGTTCATATTTCAAAACAGAAGTAATCAGAGTTACCTAAATAATAATATCTGGGTTTTACAATGTGTTCAAACTTAAAATGAATGTACTTTCAGTTAATAGCTGATCAAAATAGATTGTATTTATACTCTGGATTATAATAGTAACAATTACTTCTGTCTTGCATTTGCAAATTAAAAATTAAAATTAAAAAGCCTTATTAAATGACAATTTTGGATCATACTATCCTGAAATGAACATCTCATTGTTTCACTTAACATACCCTAGTGCCATAATGGAGAATCTATGTCACACATGCCACAGGTGGCACACAGGGCTCTCTCTGCGGGAACACCAGCTGTTGCCCCAGCCCAGCTCCACCACAAATGTGCATGTGCCTCCCACTAGCAAGCTGGTCTTTGGGTCTCTGCTGTGCATGCACAGGGGATGGGATACATGCAGGGGATATGCACATTGCATTGTGGGACCTTGTGCAAAACCCCAGCCCCATTTTTGCTTATAGGTTGGTGCAGGAGGCTTTCCAGGCCCAAAATGTCCTGCGGGGGGGGGGCATGTGTGTGAGCCATCCTGTGACCTGTTTTGACCTAGAAAGATTCCTGCACCAACCTGGAAACAAAAAAAAAATGGGGGGGGGCACATGGACATGCGGTCACTTTCATCTTTTGTTGTCACTTTTGGCATGTGGTGACAAAAACGTTAACCATCACTCCCTAGTGCTAGGTTTTAATTGATTAAATACTTTTATAAAAGCTTTGATTGAAAATTTATTTTATTATTGAATTTACACTCAATTCTTCTTTAGATTCTATCATTCAAGAGTGCTTACAGTGATTAAAAATATAGTACAAAACATTAAAAATGCAACTAAGCTAATGCTAAAAATCAATTATTAACATAGTTAACAATTACAGATTTGGCCACAGATGTAATGATATCATTTCCCTAAACACTTAAAGAATGAGACAGATATCTTGATCTGCAGATGACACTGCATTCCAAATGCTGGGAGCCACAGAGAAGTAAGTTATTTCTTGTTGTCAGCCCTTCAAGTTAAGCCAGGCCAGTAAATAGTTTGATTGGAACTATACTTTATTTACTGTACAAAGACTATGGTAACAAAATCCTGAAAGCCTGGTTACATTTTGTCTTCCTTCCTTCTTATACACTTCTAAATTAGAATACTGCCAGTCTTTCTTTTTCCTGGGCTTATAGCATGCTTTTGGATTTGTAATTATTTCAGCATAGTTCCGACTACCATTACCTGAAATCATGTCTGTGGCTCTCTTGGTACCCAATAAGCCAAGCTTTCATCTTGCTGATCTAGGTAAATATCAGGAGTCTCCAAGACTGGGCGAGTTATCATTTAGTTTTAATATATTCATTTATTAAAAGCTGTAAAGCAGCACCTACTTACACTCTGCATTCGTTCCTTGCTCTTTTAAAATAATGCTTACTGAGAAACACATCTATCATTATGATTAAGTGTCCTTTTCTTCAAATCTTTTCGTTTGTATTCACTCACATTAATTATAACCCATACATATAATGGTCTAGAATGTCTTCAGTTAATTGAGTGGCAAACTATTTTCTTTGCATGCGTTGTTTAACACTGTCAAAGGGATTCGGTCATCAAGAGTGAGGAATAATCACAAATGGTTGGACTGGTTGAAAGCAATTTCCTATGTTCCTAATGAGAGGATAGAAGTGCTATGCTGGTATGTCACAACCCTTCGGTTTCATTTTAAAACTTCAAATACAATATAATTCCTTTAAACTTAATGTAAACTTTGAGATAAAATTGCTATTACTGGTTTTTTTAAAAAAATCTTCAAATAGGTCACAATTGATATGTAAGAAAAAAGATATAAAATAATTAATGATAGACATTTTCTCACTTTTATGGGAAAAAAATCTATGGTTCCTAAGAGTTGACACCTTTTGGATGGCACATAATCAATTTTCACTTAAAATATGCATGAAACACCACAATTTTGAATATTAATGCTTAAAAGAACATTATGCAACTCTAGAAAAACATTGTCCTTTTTAACAATTATACATATTATGTATCTAAAGAAAAACAAGCTTCATAGAATCTTGCCAGTTTAAATTCCTACGTAATTTAAAACTTTCTTCAACCAGATTTTCTTCTAAGGTTTTTATATAGCATGACATGTAATAAGTAACCGTTAATTAGAAGGTTCATTATATGAAAACAAAACAACAATAACACAATAATGTCCTGGAAGAATTTTGTTTAATAAAAGTCTTATTTTCAATGACAAGAGAATATCACAAATTATTTCATAGGGAAAAAAATCTGCCTTAATGGCAGAAAGTGGAAAACAAAACAAAAATGTGTGTGGGAGGGGAAGGAAAGAATTTATAGGCTATGAAACAACTATAAGAAATCATAAAAAAATAAGCTGAAAGTGACTGCCTACATTTGTCAAAAGTATATTCTCATAAGAAATGTCATAAGGATTTTTTTCTAATTTCTGGACTATAGGAATATTTATTATGTCATGTATGTGTGTGTGTGTATGTATGTCTGTATGTATCTATGTATGGATACAGAAAGAGAGAGATATTAACAAGATAATAAGTACATTGGCAGGTGTGACTAATGAATATATGGAAATGCTTTTATTACAAAAATAAGGTGGTATTAACTTCACAGTATGGAAGAACAGAACTATTGCTATTAGACAAGCATACCATCTGCTTGCTATATTTTATATACCTTATGAAATAGACTGAAAGAATCTGTCCTTGCAGAATGAAAATAATCAAATGATTATAACTTACAAAATGGACAGGTTCACATAAAGTGAGAAATTATGTTTAAAACTACAGTGTATAAACCTGTCCTAAATACAATGGATAAATTCATCATTTACGAATTACATAAAATATTGTTTATGAACTGTATAAATAATTATGTAAGTGTTAAATTCAATCATACTATCAGTTGAATGGTTTTAGTATAACTCTGTGTGATTGCAACCCTTCACAACTTTCCATTGTTTTACATTACTTGGGTGGATCCAATGGATCTTTAGATCTTACTGCCTTGAAACTCCTAGTATACCTCATCATAGCCATGTTCAATACAATTGCTGGGCCTTTTAATTCTGGACAGCTGCAATCCCAGATACAGTGCAGTTATTTTGTCATACTTATAGATAGTGTTATTCCTGCATTTCTACTAGAAGGGGAAAGAAATTGCTCAAAAAGGAGGGATTGCCATTACCTAATTTTGTACTATTACAGTGTGTGTGTGTGTGTGTGTGTGTGTGTGTGTGTGTGTGTGTGTGTGTGTGTGTGAGAGAGAGAGAGAGAGAGAGAGAGAGAGAGAGAGAGAGAATATGACAATCCACTGAACTAATCATCGATCATTTCAGGAGCCTTTACCAATATGAAAAGGAGACTGCAGAAGGAAACTGGAATAGAAATATTGATGCATGTCAATCCTTTAATAAATATTAATTCTTCCTATGTATGCATTTATAATGTATAAAAAAGAGATATTCTTTTTGCAATGACCATGCTGTATTTTCAAAGATAAATTACTTTATCTTAATAACATAAATAAAAGTTGATCAATGTGTAGCTTTTTGTAGAAATAGTCATTGCAAATTACTATTTAGTATGATTGTATCTATCTGTGGCTTTTATCATCATTAACATATTCATTTTATTCCTTGTTCGGTTTATGAAGGGAAACAAAATCTACAACAGTCATTACTTTTCTTCTAATACAATTAAATTTACTTTTATTCTAATACAATTAAATGTACTAATTGTTTAATGCATTTTCTCAAGGTAACATGTTTTAGTTGTAATGATGCATTATAAAATGTAATGTTCTAGGCAACTAGCCCTTTCTTAACTTACTGTAAACCATGCCAATCAATTAAGCATTAAAAACATGTTAAGAACATGATCTGATTTTTGTTTGTTCAAAAAGTTATCTCTAACATAATAAATTAAGTTTATCTTATAAACAGATATGTTGTCAAATAAAATCCAACAATCTCAACATATCTAAACTGCAAAGTCTCTATTTCAGTTATATTATATCAGTTAGCAATACTCAGCTAACCTGAATGATCTTGAAAATGTGAAGTGGGATCAGGCTTGTTTACTACTTGTATGAGAGGCAACTAGAAAATCCCAAAATGGGGACATTGAAAACAACAATAACAAAAAGGTAATAGGAACAGACAGTAACAGAAGATGGTAACAGATGACCTATTTCTCTATTGCTACTAGGAAAGCAGCATGGACATTCTATGTAATGATTAGGAATTGGGATTAACTCAAGGGAGATTTTGTCTGTCTGTCTGTCTGCCTGCCTGTCTGCCTGTCTATCTGTTTGTCTATCTATCTCATATTGTTTTAAAGATACAAATTATTATTGAAAGATAATATTAAAAATAAACTATAAATTATATTGCTACATATGATTATTGAACAAAACCACCCATAGTTCTAGAGTACAAATGACTACACTCAAATTATCCTACATTATGCAAAGATCTGGCTCTCTGGAGAATGTTCTAAAGCTGGGGGAAGTAGAAGGAAAGAGAAGAAGATGACACCCAGCAAAGTGAAGGGATTCAGTTACAGTGGCAATGAATGCACTTTTGGAAAACCTGAAAGACCAGATTGGGAGTTGTCATGGAGAAATTCTATTTATGTGGCTACTAAGTGTTGACAATAACTTGATGACACATAATCTGTCAATCAATCAATCAGTCAGTCAGTCAGTCAAGGTACTTAAATATAAAATATTTATTA